CAAGATCTCATTATAGACGGCCTTCAAGGAGACCGCGTATCCCTCCACACATGCAGTCTTGTATCTCCACGATGGCTCAAGCACGTCCGGATGATTTCTGACCTCACATCAGTTGTGTCCGTGGGGCCTGGAAAGGCTGGGACCCAACAGTTCATTGCACTGCTTAACGCCCCTCACTCGACATTGGGGTACGGAATCACCCGTTTGGAAATTGACATGGACGAGCCCTCCGCCCAGCCAAAAGCCGATTATGAATTCATTTCTGCGGCAATACAGGCTATTGCTCCATATTTGCCTCGGATAAAGTCATTATCGCTAACCAATGCAATCTGGTCAAGGGTTTTGGATGCAAAGGTTCCTATTGACGCCATTACATCTTCAATTACCTCTCTCTCTTTTGAACACTTGGTATTCAATGACTTCATTGATATCAAGTGGTTTTCGACCCAGAGGTTTCCGAGGCTGAAGGTGCTGACGTTTCTTAACGTTCAGTTCGAAACTGTCGAAACATCAAGGGATCCGGTTCTCATCGACTTCCCACGCATTCATACTCTAACTCTCGGACTGGATGGAGATTTCATGCCGTTCCCGATCTGGTTTACGACTTGCACCTCGGCCGTGCAAAATATACGTATACTGTTGCTATCTAGCCATTTGCACCTGTTAAAGCGTTATCTTGCACCCATTCTCAATACCATGCAAACGACATTGGTATCTCTCAGTTTATGCCTCGAAAGCCTCACTCATGATAGCGTCGGTGAGTAGACAAATTGTTTGTGTTTACAGATGTTAATCATGGCATGTCATCCCATATCAAGGGCAACACTCGCTGTCTCTATCCGGGTGCAGCCGTCTCGAGTGTCTCTCAATTTTTTCAATGACTGATCGTAGTCGCTCTTCGGACGTATCGTGGTTAACGGAAATCCTAGATTCCACCTCATCACTGCGCTATCTCAACAAGTTAAGTCTCACCCTTGGAGTTAAGATTCTTTTTGATTTGGGTTCTCGGCTCGAGCCTTTGTTATTGAAACAGAAGAGTGCACCCGGCGTTGAAATACGGTTGAGCTCTTGGTCAGAGGAAGCTAGAGCGTTATTGGCTGAACTGTCCAAGACAGGGCGCTTAGTGATGATTGAGGATAAAGACTTGCTTTGGTAATTGGTTTAATATTTTGATAACTTCATCCGTGGTTACTTATATATACCAAAGGTGGGATGACTTCTGTGCCTAACCAAGGGCTTCACCTTAAGCCCTTGTCAAGTTGGGAATGTCGATTTGTACTGTTTCTTGGGACCTAACGAACATAAACCAATACCACATATGTACTCTTATTTAAACCTGATCCACAACAGCCGCAAGTATCACTTATATCGATTATTATCGGTTATATCAAGTTTGGTGTAGAACTAAGGTTGCAAGGGTCAGACACAGCCACATCTTGGCGACTCTAGGCTAAGGCTTTGTAGTGACTACATCTTTCTCCTTCTCTCCCATCTTACCACCTGTTGTCCGCGCCTCACCCCGTCTATACTACTTGATATCCATGAAATCACTTACTACGGTTTACAGACTGTTATTTTGAACAACCCGCGCCATTTACTATTCTTGCTTCCCATACAGCTTCATTTCAGGTACGTGCCGCTCCAGTCCTTGGAAATATGCTGACGCATAACATTTTAGTTTCGAGTCCATGTTATATGTACGCGTAACGAGTCCGCGGGTGGGGCGCATTTTAAACTTCAAACAGCGAGAGCTGACGACTCAAAATTCTCAGCGCCTTCTACAGATATCGGAGGTTGAGACTATACCGGCCCCGTCGATCCCTACGAGGGAAAGGAATCACGGTCGAATTTGGATTTGGTTGAGAGCCATGCGGAGATGATACCGAGCCCATAGCAACGGCAAGATCACACGATAAAAGGTGATTTAAAAGGAAGCCAGAGCTATTGTCATAGTACTCTCAAACCAACAATTTGTTCACTTAACTACTACACTTGTTTCCTAGCCATTCAGCACAATAATCAAGCACTGCACACGATCTCGTTCGCAGTCCTGATGAACTCAGGATTGTCTCCCTCCTTAACAACAAATGGCTCCAAACCGAAGGCCTGACGGCCCATGACCGTTTTGACATCCTCAGGCGTGGCGCGCCCCACGCACTTGGTTTCTCCAGGTCCTTTGGGGAAGTCACTGATGCACGGAATCAGCATAGGTCTAAATGTTAAAGAAAAAGATACATACGGCCCAGGAAGGCCAGCTTCAAAGGTTGCACGTTGTTGGCGCAGGTAACGAGCTCTGAGAAACCGCGTTGTAAGCACCGGACGCCCCGCAGTGTATCATTTTAACTCACGTCTTAATTGTAAGAGGAACTGCAGGGGAGTAAACCACCGAAGAGTCGTTCTTTCCATAATGATGAGCTTCGACCGAGTGTACCATGTCGCAATGCCCTGTTGATCGCAATTTAAGGTCACTTTTTGAAGGCCATGAGAAAACAGGACTTACAATAGACCTGATCACCAGGTTTAACAGTCGGAATCGCCACCATCGTCTTATCAAGCCTAAGGTGAGGGTGCGTCTTCGCCGTCAAGAACTGCTTTCCTCCAAGTAAACTGCCGGGAAACTCTGGGTTCTCGAGGTCCACCACCCACTCGTTCGTGGCTTCATCGAGTCGGAAGAAGGGGCGGAGGATGATGTAGGGAATAGCGACGTGAAGCATGGGAAGGACACGGAGGGTACCTTCGTCAGGACCAGTCTCTGACATAGAGATCCATCCCTGCCATGCGCGGAAGATGGAGCCTTGATTCCTAGGCGCAGTAAGGATTAGCATCTCGACACTATATAGTACTAAACAGTGTTCAACTCACGAGTTGTCATACATATCCTGCACCGCATCCAACCTTGGACTAGCATCGAACGCATCGTAGTCTTTCCACGCTTTCCCACCTTTCAAAATTTCCTTATAGCATTGCCTGTAGGTTGTATCCTCCCACCTCTCCACAGACCCATTGTCGATATGAGGATCAAGGGAGAACGTCGTGTCGCCTGGTTGCCTAATTCTCACGCGATCGAAATAAGATACTGGGGTAGTGAAGCTAATGGGGGTGTTGGGCCACGAAGCATGCCAGAGAGACAAGAGATATTGCTGAGTTTCGATAACGCCTGGATGTTCGCGGCATGCGACCTGCCCTTTGGCGTTATACATTTCGTAAATCTGGATGTTATGGCCAGGGTATCCTGTTCGACAGATGAATTAGATCGGACATATATATTGAACTGTAGAAGCGGTATTACCTGTAACTTCCGCAGCGTTGACTGTGGCGTAATCCTTGATCTGAGCCTTCCATCCGAGGGCTTCCTATACGCATTGAGGCTGATCAGAACGGAGGCCCGTCAGTGATGAACACATGAAATACGCACTTCCTCTGGTACACCGCCGGTGACGACGACGACACCGACATCCTTGATCGCCTTGACTTGGCTCGGCGAGAGGCCAGCCTTGATCTCTGCGAAAGAGACCCTGGGGATAACCTGAGTAATGGTCAATGGCTTGTATCTCAAAACATAAGATGTCATTTACCTGTCCACCCTTCTGCGAAATTTCTTCGACGGCGACCTCCAGCTCGGCCAACACCTGTTTCCAGCTCTCTAGAAGCTCATCCTTCCACAATGTCTTTTTGAGCGCAGACAGGTGGCTAGAAAGGAGGGCTGGAGACGCTTCTTCGAGATGGTGAGGGCCAGCAGAGACCTCTTGAGCGTGAGCCTGAGTTTGAGTGGCTTCGATGGGGATCATAGTATGGATCTTGAGAAGAAGTTAAAGGGGAGTTGGTGTGCGAGATTCAATTTGGAACGGTAACTCTGTACGTATTGACCTTTTTATACGTTTCGGATCCCAAATAAAATGGTCACGGGTAAGGCCTTTATTACCATGATTGTCAATGCTTCGAATCATCTGAGAGCCACAGTTGCAAACGTCGAAAGTGTTTTTCCGAAGTTTTCCCGGAGTCCCTTACATCACGATTCCTTGAACGGCTATAGTTCAGGGATTGTTGGGGTAAGTCTGAGGTGACTTTAACTAATATTTGAGCTGTATATAGTGATGAGATATGGTAGGGTTAGAGAAATATTGGTTGCGCCGCACTCTACCGCCATCACTAACGAACTTCAAGATGAAAGTATACTACTATTTCAAACAAAATACATGGGCGCGAGAACATTCATCCATCCATATATTATTATTACCAGATGAACCGGCTGTCGGCGCGGATCTGGACGAATAACCTGACTTCATCTTACTGTACACAGCTAGTTATTTGGTATGCATTTTTCCGATGAATTTCCGAAACACAGCAGCTCTTGGTGCAAGACTGTAAAACTCGTGAGTCCGTATACGCTGCCGGGTTGGTTTCTGGGGCCGAGATTCAGGGTCAAATCACTTGTATCTTGTGGCACTCGGAAAGAACGGATAACTTTTCCAAGTGGTCTGACCTCACGCAAACCTCACAGCAGGAAGATATATGTTTTTTGCCTAGCATTTCATAAATTTGAAAATTAAGAAACTGAATCAAAGTCTTGCCTGGGTCGCAAAACTACATGATCCTTTAAATTCTTTAAACTTTTCTAAAATCGGCCTGGGGATTGTTGGACTGGGGCGATAATTCCATAATCGACGAAACATTACCCCGCATACGTCCATTTTTGTGACAGGGCAAAAAGCTACGGCATCATCATGTGGCCGCTGAATTGATAGAGCCCGAGTTCTGAGGGCTATCACTGTGGAGGGATTTTGGATCAATGCAGCGTCTAGTGCTAGTAGGCTATCTACGTAAATCAGAATAACTATGCATTATGGAACCTGTTCTTGATATGCTATTATTCAACGAAAATGGTGGCTCGGGGAGGGTGATCTGTTCGCAGAGTACAATGATGGTTATACGTAGTAGCAGATAATGGTAGGGACGTTTTGGGACACGATATACAAAGTCACTACTACAGCACAACATATGGGGACTTAGCGCAGTGGTAGCGCGTGTGCTTTGCATCATGCAGTTGTATAAGGTCGTGGGTTCAATCCCCACAGTCTCCATTTTGGCTTCTGAGTCTGTGCTTTTAATTTTGAGTCCTTCCTACGACGTCTTACAGCAGGTTGCCCATGTCAAAAATCTATTAAACACCCAGATTTCACTCAAAGGCTGTCGTCAAGTGCTAATAAAGTAGCAGCTCCACGTCCAGCGTACTTTTCACAATAACATGTGCCACTTGTGCAATTGATTGCTATCGTGTTGCTTGATTACACCTTATGAAGAATTAATGACTGAATGGAATCATCCAAATTATTTTGGGAAGCAGGGGGTGTTCAAATGATGCAATGCGTCGGGATGATTACTTCTATTGAGACAATAGTACGGCCGCACCGCAGCTCGCCAACTCCTGTCGGCCTGTGATCTCTATCCCTCGCCCTTACTTAACTCTATGCTTGTGCAGAGTTCTGGCATCAGAACTATAATGTCAGAGCTCAATGCACCATGCCAGTGTCACCCAAGTGGTCGTAGCGGAACGCGCACAAACACATAGGTCGTGCTCCACAAAATAATCCCAGATATAATCCGAGGCGACCATAATGATTGGGTGGTCAGACCCCAAGAAAACGACATGCGTACGAAATACTGTCAGAAAGCCTATCCCGAAAATCAATTGACATATGTCGTCGGCGGTGGTGCTTAGAAAGGGTGTAGGTTAATCGCTGGGAATTCACATCTCCTCATCAAGACCCACCGTGGAAGACACCTTGGACGAAATAGGCCCCTTTGGTATTGTTACAGAATCAGGTCCGGAACAGTATCAATTGCAAGAGTATAGTCATCATCAGTTGGATTCTCTAGGAGAAATATGTTTATCAATCGACGTGAGAGCCATGCGGTTCATTTTCCCTAGAAAAACTGGATTTACTTATACAAATGCACTCTAAATTCGTCTGAAGTAACATACCTGACGTTTACATTTACCTCAAGTACCTTTCCCTTTGAAAAGTTCGCGCAAGTTTGATGAGAAGATCTGGCGGCAGCTGCCGGATCGCTTGATGGAGGAGTCTCTCAATCCTTCGTCCTACACACCCACCATCAACAGCTTGAAACTCTTATTGATCACATCCTATACACTATCTCAAAGCTCTTGAACATGCCTCTGAAGATTAACTATAAATGGCTCGAAGGACTCGCCTGGGGCCTCGCTTAATCTCTCACTACTCTGCAGTCCACCTGGAGTCCGTGATCATCCACACAAACGGACGTCGATGTAGACTTATCCGTCGCTTCACTGGTACCATGTAGCACCCCCTCGCTACTTCGTGGGTCATTTCGTAAAGTTATAATCCTGCGAAACGCATCTGGTTACACCATCTAGTTTTCCCGGACTTCAACCCTCCGTGGACTTACGATTTCCGTTCCAATGGCTTCTACAGACCTAGAATTGCCACAATCTTATGCTCAACCGCGTCCTTTTATCCATCAGTACGCGTGCCCATCTAAAGAGGGCCTATGGCCGTCGGCATCGACTGACAGCCTCAGCATCCCTCCGCCGATTTCTCTAGGCAATTGTCATGGCTGCCGTATAGCAAAGTATCTCCCGGTTCCGGTGAGAGATACTCCCTTATTTTACACCGAGCCTCCGACGCTTTCCACGCGGCTGTTCAAGTTTGGTTTTCGTACGTGATCTCTCCCTCTCTGAGCATCCGAACCAAACACATAATCTCACTCTGTCCTTTCTTCGTAGTATTTCCTCCTCTATGGATTTTGGGCTTCCTCATACCGTTCTTGCCGCACCGCGTCGAAGCCTTGCTTCCAACGTCGTTTTTGGAAAATGAAAAGTTTGATGAGGAGCATATGGAGGAACTGCGGAGGGTGGAGAGTAAATGGGCGCTGCGATGCCTATTCGCTTTCGTGATATGCCTTGCTTTAACCTTTGCGGCTGCTATTCTAATATGGTGGACATTGAAGAAGGAGTTTCATGTATCCACGGCGACATACGGCGATACAATACCACAAAATTAGTGTTGAGTGTATTCTCCTTTGGATTCTCTATTTTCTTCTTCCTTCATGTAAACCAATAGGATAATTTATTTTTTTCTCCCTTTCTTTTGTCGATCGTTGAGAGGAATCGTGAGTTGTGAGGATGTCGGCGGTTGCAAAGATGAGTCGGCGGCTGCGGCATTTTAGTAGTTGTTGAGTCACATGGCGCAGTGATGGATTATGTGATCTTTACTGAGCCTAACGGCCTGAGTCTCTTCAGTTCCAACCACCACCTTCTCTCCATCCCATCGCTGCCCCTACTACTCCAACAACTATTGGCTGCTCACAACCATGACGACTGTATCACCTTTTGCGCGGGTCAGCGTCTTTGAGGATCCCTCGATATCTGTTGGCCGCGAACAAACCGTAAGCCACAGCTAGAGCCTTTTCTATCTCTTGAGCCTTCAAACGCGAACAGGTTCTCTGCAGATCGAGGAAATGTACAGTGTTCCAGAAAGCTTTCTTGAAATCGAAGTGAGAAACCCCCAAACTCACGGTGAGCAGCCCTAGCGCCGTTTTTTTCGTGATATGAATATTGATGTCCTGGTTGTGTAGGGTTCGGGCGGAAGATGTACACTGATTATGAAATAGTCTGCAAGGCAAGCTCCTAATGCTCTCTAGCCCCAAGTCTTATCATCTTCCAAGCATACTGACACTGTATTTTTAGACTAACATTCCTGCCTTCAAATTACGCCATTCCCTCGTCCGCCGCCGTTATTCTGACTTTGAAGCCTTCCGCGATATCCTCGAGCACGAGTCTACTCGAGTCAATATCCCCCCGCTTCCCGGGAAGGTTTTCACGAACCGTTTCTCGGACGAGGTCATTGAGAGCAGGCGAGAGGGGTTAGAGAGATTTTTGAGCATCGTTGCGGGACACCCGTTGCTTCAGGTGCGTGATTGGAATTTACATGCTCCGTTGGTTGCGGTATGCTTATTTTCGGCCACGACAGACTGGGAGCAAGGTGCTCTGTGCCTTCTTGCAGGATCCTGGCTGGGATCGGGCCCAATGGGTCTAATCATGACATTAGGCGGAAGTGCTGCATGTTGACATGATCCATTGCTCTTATTCGTATTGCGTTGGTGTAATCTGCTGCTTCGTTCGCCATCCTTATTCCCATTCTCCTTTTATCTCTCTTTTCTGTACTTTTGCATGTCCCACATCACCGAACTTGTAATCGGAAGCCGACCCCAATGATGTAATTTTTTTTATTCGTCGCATCCACTTTCAACGTCCCAGGCTTAAGCTCAGTCTTCGTTCAATTCATCTCTGTCGCCTTCCAACGCTTCTTGATGACCCTCTTCGTCAACCTGAATATATCCCCTTCTCGCTGGCCTTGTCATGGTTTGGGAAGTCTACGACTGTCAATGAACACCATCACAAACTGGGAGACGTGGCTTTTGTCGCGTGGAAAGAATAATTCCAGGCAAGCGTAAGATACAAGTAGAGTACACGATAAAAAACAAGCGGTATAAATACTTACAGAAATGAATTTACAAATCCCTAGGCTTTGCGAGTTACAACAAACGAGAAAGAAAGAAAGAGAAGTCACCAAAAAATGCAGCTAATCGCTGATATCAGCCTTGTCGACCTTCCTGGACCGCTTCTCCTTATCCTTCTCTGACCTACGACGGGCAAGATCACGATGTACGACGTCAATCTTCCACCCCTCGGGCCATTCCATGCGTGCAAGTTCCTCGACGCAGGCAACGCTGCGGTGGCGGCCCACTTCGCAGCACACGCCTACGCGAATGTGCACGTCAGGAGACTCTTCCTCCTCGTCCTCCTCCTCTGACACATCATCATCTTCAGAATCCTCCTCTTCTTCCTCCTCTTCTTCATCTTGATCGACATCCATTCTTTCTTCTTTTCTTTTTTCCCTCGGATCCTCGATTGGTGGCTCAGCCGTCGCTTGTTCCAAAGCAATCCTTATAGCCCTCGAGATCCCTTCTACCCTCTCCTTACACGTCGCATCGGCCATAAACGCCGCACGCATCGGTTTATCGGTGCCCACATACATCTCTCGGGTGCGTTTTGGGGCATTTGGGAGCGAGCGGATGTCGAAGAGCAAGCCTGGGGTTGGAGGTGGTCGGAGTGGGCCACGGCGATGGGAGAAGGATGTTATGGAGAGGAGGCGAGTCAGTGGTATATGTTTAGATTTTGAGGGAGAAGAGGAGGGCTGAGGGTGGTTTGGGTTAGCTGGTATGTCATCCAGATCTAGAGGGTCGCTGGGCATGATGGTTGAAATAATCTAATCTCTGTTCACGCTCCGACAGCGACACCCCTTATGTAATAACACTCTCTCCACACGGAAATTTAGGTTTCGACCAGTAGTCAGTTTCAGAATGAGTACACCAATTCCGTCCTTGGCTTGAATATTCGGCGTGTACAGCAGAGTATAAAGAGAGCACCAATTTCCACTGCTTCCTCACTTGTCCTCGCACTCTCCAACCTCTAGTACACGATGTGTCATCGTTATATCTTCCTATGCGCCGCTATTACTAGCCATGTCGTGTGCCAGGCTGGAACACGCGGCTTGATTGTGATTAGATCGAGGCGCGCGTTAGCGGCGCCACGCACAGACCGCGTGACATTCCTGAGCGTGAGAAACAATCAATCTTCCCTACTGACACCACAGGTGGCCGTCGGTTCTGAGTTTGTAAACTTGTTTGTGACTGGTTGACCCCCATCTACATCGTCATGAGCAAAAAAACCGGCAAAAGCGCGCCAAAGGAGGTCGCGTCCTACTCTGAGCGCGATATCGTTCTAGGCAAAGTGCGCGGCTTCCCGCCCTGGCCTGGCATGGTGTGTTTCCTCCGCCTTTTATCCATTCTGCTACCAGACTACTAACGCGAAATCCCATCCACCAGGTTGTCGACCCCGATTCCGTTCCACCCGCTGTTCAGGCTGAGAGGCCAGTCAAGAAAACTAACTTTTATTGTGTACGGTTCTTCCCTACGGGGGACTAGTGCGTTGTCCTTTGTTCACCGTTCTGAGTTCAAAGCTGGACTGACTACCACT